TGTAAAAAGTGTGGAATAACACGCCAGGGTGCACTTTGATTGCTCTTTCTGGTCGACCAAATTTTTGCCATGCATTGTGGAATTGGTTTTCTTTGTGTTCTTCTCGTTGTCCAATGTGCGTGCGTCTACTGGCCAGCAGTAAATTACACACATTACGTCTCATTGAACTGTTGAAATGTGTTGTGTTACCATAAAAGGGAAATACATCACTATAGAGATCCTCTTCTGAATTTTTCACAAGCTAAACTAATTAATGAATACCAATCAAGTCACACATGTAAAACTAAAGAAGTCTTCCTTTAATTAAAGGACTAGTGGAATTCTTGTGTCTTCCATCTGAGGGTTGATGTTTTACTTTTTGTCGTTATTTCCCACTTGACATAAACAAGTCTGGCCAGTTTGCCTCCAGGCTCAGAGGAGGTCAGCTCAGATTCTGACTCGGTGATAGGACCCTTTTCCAGTTTATACTATCGGCACTCCACTTCTTCTTCTGAGAGATTCACGCTCCGTCCCTGTCTCTCTTGTTCTCAATTGACCCCAATTATCCGCCTGCTCCCGTGTTTGCCTCGGGCCAGCAACTTTCATGCCGTCTTTAGACTAGTGTGGCTACTTCAAACAGAATATTTTAAAGAATATTTTGGGGTTGATTTCCTCTTTAACATCCAATGTAGAGTAAACATACATACTTATAATATATAAGTATATATGCAGAGTAACAGTGGGAACAACTGTTAAGTTTCATGGTTTGCGTGGTGGGGTGTGGAGGCAAGAGGTGGACCCAAATATAGTAGCAAGAGAAGTAAGACAGGAGTGCAGGATGTACCCCCCCTCCAGATCTCAGATGATGTGGGTGTGTCCGTTGAATGCTCTGAAACAACGCACCACTTAACTGTGAACTGCCAAATGTCAATCAAATACAGGTTGGAAGAATAGAGGCCACTTTGTCTCTCGCACTTGTATCATGCCTACATGTAATTAACTACATATTTGAGTTGAGAAAATATATCCGGTAAAGCCTCTGGTAGCTGAAATATCCCACCGCATTATCGTGGGGTTTTGTCATGCTATGCAAAACAAGGCGCTCTGAGGCAGAAAAGCCATCCCAAAGCCTCTGTCCACAGTGGCAGTTAAGTCACATTTTGGAAAAAAAATCAAATAAAATGTTCTCATTATTCTGGCTTCTCACAATGATGTGTACTGTACACTCTCACACCTGAAAATTAGCTGCTCTATCTGAAGAATATGTGAATGGAAGATGTTTTTGGCAGGGTGTAGACTGGCTATCTACATGATGCAATCGTACCGGATAACCGCGATGCGAATGGAGGTGCTAAAGTTCGTATGTAGTGGGGGAGGGGGGAGGTCATGCCTGGGCCAAAGTGCCTGACTTGAGCCCAGTTTAGCCATATCCACAAAAATTAGGGAAACTATTCTACAGCCCCACAACTGAGTACAACGTAGTTCTCGGTCTTTGTACGTTTTCAGCAATTATTAAGAAACAAATATCTACATTCTTTAAGAATTCACTGTAAGCACAGTCATAAAATATTTATGCAGCAATTGAGTTTTGCCTCTTTGAGTGGAATGAGACAGAGTATCACAGAGTGTGTGTTTTGTTTGACACTAGTAATCAGAAGTGCCTGCCAGTTGGCTCCTTGGCCAGGGGGCGACACAGCTGACAGATTTGTGCGGCGGTGGCCGAACGCCTCCTTGTTCTTGTTTGTCCTGCCCACTAACGAGCCTTTCCCCGCATTGACACATGAGTGCGACTGCTCCATGCTGAATTTTCGTCTTTAATTTACATGTTAATTGCTAGTTGATGGCCTCCTCAGGGGTTGTTCTATTGAGATGGATGACAGCTCCTTTTAGTCCTCTTGCACACGACTGGACTGGGCGGATTTGGACGAAATCCCACATAGACCAGCTCTGCATTTGCCATTAGCATCGTTCGCCTAAAGTGCTAGGCTATCAGGTATCAACTTTGGGACTGTAATTAGGCCTTGACAGTCAATTGACTCATAAAAGTGGATGCTGAAAGAATCCAAGCCAGCTGGAGAGATGAAGTGTTTGCTATGTTAGATGGTCCGAGGGAGTCTAAAATGAGCTTACAAGGTCGGAGCATGATTAACCTTTAATAAACATACTTGGTACCTGAGGTACCGATGTAGACATCAACGTCAAAGTTCTCAGATGTTTGAGTCATCACTTTGTTGAAAATTTGTTGCTGGGGTTGCTGTGGT